TTTTAAAAAAAAAAAAAAAAAAAAAAAAAAAAAAAAAAAAAAAAAAAAAAAAAAAAAAAGAAATAGGAAATGTCATCCAAGAAAGAATATTTCAGTTCCTGCCTCTCCACTTTATTACAAAAATTATCATAAGTACATTCATGACTATACTCAATAGTCAAATATGAGGGTACATTAAAAAGTTCATATAGAAAGATTCATATTATCTCTCAACTCTATTTTTACACAAACTTTTTGACATAACCTCATATATGGATTAATGCTTTCAAATTAGAACCCCAAATCAGCATTTCCTCATCTCATTACTCTGTGCAGAACCCTATATAGTACTACTACATTGTAAAATTTCAAGAAAATTAGATGACAGTTCTATGTTCTCTTCCACCTCCTATAACTGTCTAAATGATCAACACATGATCACATTTTAATTTTCTGTTTTCTCCAAATGCTCTTGATGTCTTGTTCGTAGATACACTTCCAGTGCCTAGCAGAGTTGCTGAATGAATGAATGAATGAGTGGCTCCAAAACCACCTTCCTCTGTCAAAGACAGGAGCTGTTTATCACAGACATATAAACAGTCAGTTAACATGGCCTAAGTGACAATAAGTTTATTACAATTTTCTTCAGTTATCAAGTACTGCTCATTATAGAAAATCAGGAAAACAAAGGAAATCAGGAAAAAAAGTTCCCATGGTTCTCTCATCCAATATTCTAGTTTTCAAAATTGCATCTTCACTTTCTCCTGACCAGAGTGTTTGGGTTTGTTTCTAACAAATCATTTTTTTCTCATTCTTCTATTTGTGTTCCTTCTCCACTTTTTCTTCCAAATGCTCCTAAAATAATACTGCATGATCCTGGGCTTTTGTAGTGTCCTCACTTTCCAGGATAATTTCCATAAATATGTCTGTCACTTCTGCAACACTGATTTTGGGGTAATAAAAGACTTTCAATTTGACTTCCCAATAGGCAAAACTGAGCTGGGCACAAGCTGGCACCAGACATGCCCATGTCATACCAAGCCCCCACAACACCTCTTCCTAGCACATTTTTTAAGTGTCTATAAATGATTATTGCTTCTCATTCAAATACTAGTTGCTCATCTAAACCATTCTTTGGATATCCATCCTTTGTAAGCCTGTAATAATATGAGTATTTAATCAATATTAAATCAACACACCTGAAGTTAATAATAGTTATCTCTAAGTAATAAGTTTAAAGTAGTCATGTTTTTTGCTTCTTTAAATTTTCTCATTTTTTCTACATTAACTGGTAGTACAGTAGTCCCTCTTATCCACAGTTTCGCTTTCCACGGTTTCAGTTACTCACTCAACTGCAGCCTCAAAATATTAAATGGAAAACTCCAGAAATAAACAATTCAGAAGTTTTAAATTGCATGCTGTTCTGAGTAGCATGATGAAATCTCTTGCAGGACGTGATGAATCATCTTTGTCCAGAGTATTCATGCTATAGATGCTCCTTGTCTGTTAGTCATTCAGTAGCCATTCTGGATATCAGATCCATTGCTGTGGTATCACTGTGCCCCCATGTTCAAATAACCCTTATTTTACTTAATAATGTCCCCAAAGTGCAAGAGTAGTGATGCTGGTGTATTATTATTGTCCTATTATTAGTTATTGTCGATCTCTTATTGTACCTAATTTATAAATTAAACTTTATCACAGGTACACATGATTAGGAAAAAACATAGTACAGTATTTGGTACTGTTTGCAGTTTCAGGAATCCACTAGGGGTCTTGGAATTTATTTCCTGTGGATAAGGGAGAAACTACTATATTTACATTAACATTTTAGGTTAAAAATACATTGAAAGAATTCAGCAAATATTTATTGTGGGCTTGCCATGTGGGTGTAAATAATTTGTTACGCATCATTGGGAATACATACAAAGAAAATCCTAAATGGATCTTGCCTTAAAGAACTTGGGAGTCCAACTAGCGAAAGAAAATACACACACAATTAAATATATTATAAAGTATAAAGTCACTGCTTCAATAAAGATACTATTCCAGTTGGGGGAAGAGAGGTAGTCAGGGAAAGCTTAGCCATATTCAAACTAAACTGAGTGCTGTAACAGATCTGGGCTTAGCTTTTCGGAGGACAGCAGCTCTCAGCTAGGGCTTCTGGGGCCTTGAGTCACCAGGTAAGTAGGAGAGGCCACATGGGAAGTGCTGACACTACATGGAGAAAAAGGGCCAGCTAAACCCAGCCTTTCAGCAGTATCTGACAAAGAATGTCAGTGGAGAAGCCATCTTGGAAATAGATCCTTCAGCCCCAGCCACCTAAGTTGACAGCATTGTGGAGCAGAGAAAAATGGTACAGGTGAGCCCTCAATCCCCTAACTCACAAAACTATCAACAAATAAAACTGCTGCATTAAGCCACTGTTTTGGGATGGTTTGTTATGCATCAATAGATAAGTGAAACAGCTCAAATTTTATTTTCTAGCCAATGGGAAGCAATGCAATGAGAGTTGTGCTTTAGGAAAATCAACCTAGCTGCAATGTGTAAGACAGCCTGTAGAAGACATCTAGTGCCTGCAAACTCAGGAAACAAGAGCCAGTGAAGTCTGAACTAGAGATAGTAGTATGTAGGGGAAGGGAAAAAATACGAGACACTGACTGCACAGTTAGATTCAATGGGAATTTTGTATGCAACCTGCCATCAGGGCAAAAGGAAGGAGTCGAAGTTGACCTAGATGTTCAGATTAGGTGAGGACAGGATGTTATTGCTATTAAGGAAGAACAAGGCAGACAATGAGTTCAGAATAAAAAAACACAATGTGTGTTAATTTTAATACGCACACAAAACGGAATAACTAACGTAAAATAACATTCACAATTACAGATATAATTATGCAAACGAGGTGAGGACAGGATGTTATTGCTATTAAGGAAGAACAAGGCAGACAATGAGTTCAGAATAAGAAAACACAATGTGTGTTAATTTTAATACGCACACAAAACGGAATAACTAACGTAAAATAACATTCACAATTACAGATATAATTATGCAAACTGTCTGGAGTTTAAGTAGAGTTTAAGAGCTCTAAAAATCCTGTTAGAGTGTCTTTCCACAGTACGAAAGGTTTTAGACCAAAAATTAAATTCAAAATCTTCAGTGGATGAGCTAAAGAGTTCAAAATAAAACATTAAGATTTTCCTCAACTGTGAACTGAAAACTGGTTTAGAAACTGGGACAGATAAGTAAGCACATCCTCATCCAAAGGGATAAAAAATCAATGTTTTCAATGATCTTTTTACAATTGAATCTTCTATGAACTCGTGACACACTGCTCCTTTTATCCCAAGTACTGCCATAAAGGCTCCAACCCCTGACATATTTTCACATTGAATTGAGAGATGTTTTTTTTTTAAAACCACAGATTTCATTATAGTAGAACCAAAATCCTTATCATGGCTTATAAGATGCTGCACCACCTGATCCTTGCTGATATAGCTAGCCTTACCTCATACCTCTTCCCTTCACTCCCATTCTGTAGTGACAATGGCTCAGTTCCTTAAACAGGCCAGGCTCCTTCCTTCCACTTCAGGTTCTTCTCTCTAGCTGGATTACTCTTCTTTATTACCTCTCTTGGACCAAATTAACTCCATTAATCTTCACTCCTGCAGAGCAAAACTTTTCCTGACTATCCCCTATATATCCCTCCATCCCACATTCATTCACACGACATCCCCCACTTCTTCAAAGTACTTACCACACTTAGGAAACAATGTTTAATATTGGTCTCCTCTGCTAAAACTTAAGTTCCACGAAGGCAGGACAATGCATCTTATTCACTCTCATGGTCCCAGTACATAGCATGCTGTCAGGCACAAAGTAGATGCTCCAGAAGTACTTTCTGAATAAGTAGCATTCACAGGTATAGCAGGATAATTAGGGGCATGAATTCTGAAACCAAACTAAGTTCAAGTCCTAGCTCTGACACTTACAAGCTTTGTGCCCAGGTAAGCCACTTTTCAGCACCTCAGTTTCTTCTCTTTTAAAATAAGTAACATAATAAGTAACATAATTCAGAGCATTAAAAGAGTTAATATATGGAAAATGCTAGCACGTAGTTAACATCATGCGTTTTGTTCTATTAGTATTAACAACAGTGTAGATAAAATGATGACACCGTCAGATGTGAGTTAGTTATGATGTCTATAAAGACCCAGGGTATAGTAAACACATTGCATAGTCGTTCATACTGTATTTTGCAAACACAGACTCTCTCAACTATCCTATTTCATAAATTTTCAGTCTCCCTGACTCATATCTCAACTTTATTAGATTTCTCCACAGGGGCTTCAAGGATTCTTTTATTAGCTGCTGCTAGCGTTCAGGATAAAAACCTAAGGCCTCTAACGAGGTTTTTACAGCGGGGTCCAAATTCTGGCCCCAGGGCTCACCAGCCATTTCCTCAAATTCACCACCACTCCCTAACCCCCAGCCACAATAAATTATGGATACAAAACCCAAAGCCAAAGGCAGGCCATTTCTTAGCTGTCTTATCAGACAAACTTATTAAACTGAGATGTGTCATAAAATCCTCCGGGTCGTCCTTTCTCCCAGCACGATCAAAGTACCCAGGACGACTGCTAACAAGGCACTTATGACAACGTAGAAGTGATTTACAGGGCCCCTGGAGGATGTCTATGGGAACCCTGGCCCTAGAACTGCAACTGTAGGCACTCAGTAAGGTGAGTTACAGGCCTGAAGTTTCCCGAAGTTTCAGATCGTCGGTCAACCCAGTACAAGGGTCACCGCACAGGTGGGCACATCGGCCTCGTTCCCTGCACAGCGCCCAAGCAAATGCGAGGTGCTGCAGGAACATCAGCTGGGCTAGCACTCTCCGCGCTGCAGAAGGGTTCTTACATTCGCGCTGTGTCCTCACAGTGCCAAGCGTCAGTCACCAACTTTCGCGGAAACACACCCCCTCCTGAACAGATGGGAAAAGGTTGGAAACGGCCTCCCGTCACCCGTTCCGGGCGAGGGCTGAAGTTCAAAGTCAGTCCACGTCCCTCCGCTTCTCCAGGCCGCGGTCGGGTGAACAGACACCGCCTTCCGCGGCGGCTTCGGACCCGGGAGAGGGAAGCGAAGGCCACCGGAGGAAGCTCAGTCTTTCGGGGCGGTCGCCCTCGCGCAGGAGGCCGAGGGACCCGCCCGCGGAAACTTCCCCAAGCGGCGGGAGGGGGTCGCCAAGCACCTTTGTCCCTCCCGCCTTACCGCTGGACCGCCGCACGGGGCTCGGCGGTGCCCAGCGCAAGGGGGTCGCCAAGCTCCTTTGTCCCCCCCGCCTTACCGCTGGACCGCCGCACGGGGCTCGGCGGTGCCCAGCGCAGCCCCCAGGCCCGCCCTGGCCTCGGCCCGCGCCCCTCACGGCCCGGCCCCCACCCCCACCCGCGGGACTTAATGGACGCGCCGAGCGGAGAAGCCACCTCGCCTCACAGGGCCTGCCGAGGCGCCCAGGAGCGCTCCGCGGCCGACACTTACTCGCCACTCAACTCGCCGGCTGACGAGGCGGGCTCAGCCGCGGCGTTTACGCACAGGAGCTGCAGCAAACAGCTCAGTCGCCGCCGCCGCGGAGGCCGCCGCCGCGCTCCTTCCGGCCCTGCCGCGGCGTCACCTCGCGCCTGCGCACAGCGCCCCCTCCCGACTAATGACAGGAAGAACCATAGAGGCACGCCGGGTGCTGGGGAGAAGGTACCTGGGGAGGGAGACCATAGAGAGACTTCAAGCAGCTCCTCCATCCCGGCTCACTGCCTGCGGAGTCTTGATTCCCCCGTTAGGCGTGAGAACGTAAGGAACTGAAACTCGCTTGACCCCACAAGGTGTCACTATCTCCCTAGAGTTGAAAGAGGTGGGGGAGGGGATGTGACATAGAAATCTACTGCATAGAGATCAGCGAAAGCGGTTCCTGAGGAGCAAACATTTGAGCAGAAAACTGAATGAAGTGAGGGAGTGAGCCCTGGTGACCACCCGGAGGAAGAACACTTCAAGAAAGGACAAAGGCCCTTAGATAAGAATAGGCCTGGAATGTTTGAAAAATAGCAAGAATAGGGTGGCTACAGTGCAGTGACCAAGCGGAAGAGTGGTAGCGAATGGGGTTGGCAAGGTGGCAGGAAGCCAAATCATAGTCTTAATAAGGAATTTGGATTTTATTCTAAGTGTGATGGAAACTACTGGAGAGTGGGGAGCCGGGGCGTGAGTTGATCTGCTTGTGTTTCCCAAAGATCACTCTTGTGACTGATGTCGGAGGTTGGGTAACGGTAGTTGGCCTCAACCCACCCAGTCCTCTTACCAGGTTCTTGACTCTGCCGCAGGAAAGAATTCAAGGGCAGAGTCACAGTAGACAGTGAGAACAAGTTTAATATAACAGATAAGAAGTACAGATTCCACAGAGAGAGGTCGGCATAGCTCCACAGACGGAGCAGGGCCCATACCAAGTCTAACAAAAGTAAGTTCAGTACAGACATCAAAGTCTAACACAAAAGTAAGAAAAACATACTTAAAATTCAGTCTCAAGAGAATGAGCAGCCAATAGCCGAAAGCAAGTTTGATATAAGTACACATACCTCTGCCAGTACAGCGCAGGTCACCTCCAGGAAAGTGAGTATAACTCCTGCTTCCGCTGGGATTCGGCTTTTATAGTTTCTCCATCTAATGAATATTCAATTAAGGGGGTGGCTCCCAGTAGTGTAACGTTTAGTCTTGCACATGCTCAGTCAGTCTTTTCCTGGAGCATGTTCATTGGTCAGACCCTATCACATGCCCCAAACATACTAAAGAATGTTCTGTGCTCTCTACCAAGCATGCCCAGTCACTAAATTTGCATAAGCCAGCCCCTTGTGGTCCCATTTTCCCTGCGCTGGTGCTAAAAATAGGTCTAACTGGCAACAGTAGCTTTTCTCTAGGGGACCAATAGGAGGGGCCTGAGACTTTGGGAAATGGCTTGTAACCCAAAGGCATGTCCGGTTACCCCAACCCAGGGAAACGGAGCTCCTGCTATATCACGGCTGGAGAGGTAAATAGTAGAGGCTCTACAGAGAGGTAGGAGTACACAGAAGCAGGAAAGCCAGTTAGGAGGTTATTGCAAAAGTATAAATGATAAACAAGCGTAACTTGGACTAGCATTGTCAGGGAGGAGGTGGTGAGAAATGGTCAGATTAGAATTTTTTTTTTTGGTGGCTGATGGTATGCGGATGTGAACCCTTGACCTTGGTGTTATCAACACCACACTTTAACCGAGTGAGCTAACCCGCCAGCCCTAGGGATTTTTTTAAAAAAAGACAGAACAGAGAGGATTTGCATGTGGATTGGATGTAGGGTGAGAAAGAAAGGCATCGAGGATGACTACTTGGTTTTTGGCTTGTGCACCTTGGAGAATGGTGGTTGTGTTCACAAAGATGGTGAAAATAGGGGAGGGACAGACTGTGTTCAGGGTAGGGAGAAGTGCATGTATTTTGGACATGTTAAATTACCAACTAGATCTTCGAATAGAGATGTCAAATAAGCAATTAGATATATGAGTCTATAGTTTAAGGAGGACAAGAGGACTCAGAGGCCAGGGATTTAAATTGGGAGTCACTAACATATAGGTAATATATAAAGCTATGTCACTGGCTATACTTGTATCTCGAGAATGAGTGTAGAGAGGGGACAGTGGAGGGTCAAGCCCAGGGTCTGGGAGGGAAGTACTGAGAAGGAGGAGAAAAACCAGAAGAGTGTGGTATCCAGAGGCCAAGGAAAGAAAGTATTCTGAGGAGAAGGGAATGGACAGTGCTCATATGCTGCTCAGAGTCTTAGTACTATGGAATTTAGTCTCAGGAACAAGAACGAGGGACATTGGCTGAGAGTGAGGTCAGGGAGAGGGTCTTGGAGGTTTGTGGAGGAAAGGGTGGACGGTGAAATGACTAAGAAGACTGTTGTCGGCTTGCTGGACCTGGGGTTTTGTGATTATAAATTTAAAGTGAGGCCAGGAAGCAAGGACGTGGGTCTTTCTCCAGCCACCTGCTCGGATGCAGAGGAGGGAGCTGGAGAAAGAGGAGGGGGGGGGGGTCAGAAAGAGATACTTGAAATTGAGATTTTGGAGATGGTGCAGATGTTGGTAATGTCTGGGGCGTGGTTATGAGTGGGTGGCTGAGCTCCAGGAAAAGTCAAGATCATTGCAGGGGACAGACCAAGAAACTAAGTCACCTGGGTGTGGATGGATCATCTAAGATGTTAAATCATCAGTATAGATGTCAGAAATGGGGACGGGGCAATAAGACAGGTTCTAAAATCGTCAGTGAATGAGAGGGACTGACCAGTAGGCCAGCAGGTAGCTGTATGAGAGGAAGGTAGTATAGTTTAATGGCACATGCTTCTGAGGACTCAGTTAATTGTCATTGTTGTTGTTTTTGTTTGGTTTTGTTTTAAGGAAGGTGGGAGGAATAATAGACTGGATGCGGCAATGAATGCCCCTTCTCTAGGACGGTGGAATGTGCCTTGGTGGGGAAGCGGGGAGAAAAGGACCACTACTGAGAGGGTCACAGGGAGGCAGTGTCCTGGGGGAATAGCCATGTTTCAATGAAGCAGTAAGATAAAGTGCTGCTTAGAGAAGAGGGTAAGGATAGAGGGATTTTACTGATGACAGACCACAAGTTCCAGAGGGCACAGTAGATGGAAGATTTTGGAGAGTGGACAAGAGTGAGAATTTAATACAGAGACTTAACTGGGAATGAGATCCTGGGATAACCTGGAAGGTGAAACAAGGGCATTGGGCCTGATGGGCTTATCCTCCATGGTGGAGAATCACTTTCCGATGTAGCCACCTTCTTGGAACCATTCTCATAAGTGATCTGTAAGGCTGAGGCAGACAGTATTGGGGGGGCTTGGGGATCTTAGCAGGAATGCAAGGATCTTTCTGGACCCCTGAATCCTGCCATGGGTGGTGTCAAATCCAGGGGAGGTATGATCATGTGACCTCTCTGAGTCTGGATTCTTCATTTGTAAAATGGGTTTTTTTCATATTTTCTATTGCCCAGTTGCGAATGCAAGGATCTTTCTGGACCCCTGAATCCTGCCATGGGTGGTGTCAAATCCAGGGGAGGCATGATCATGTGACCTCTCTGAGTCTGGATTCTTCATTTGTAAAATGGGTTTTTTTCATATTTTCTATTGCCCAGTTGAATTAGTCCATTTTTGAGTTGCTATAATAGAATACCTGAAACTGGGTAATTTATAAGGAAAAGAGGTTTGGCTCATGATTCTGGGATGGCTGCATCTGGTGTGGGCCTCAGGCTGCTTCTAGTCGTAGCAGAAACTTCAGTCAGGCCTCCGGAAGGTACAACATCACTTTGCAAGAGGAAGAGAGAGAGAGAGGGGCTGTGCCAGGGTCCTTTAAACAACCAGGTCTTGTGGGAATTAATACAGCAGGAACACCCCCCTGCTCTCAAGGAGGGCATTCATCCGTTCATCCATTCATGAGGGATCCACCCACATGACCCGAATAGCTCCCAACATCGCCACATTGGGGATCGGAGTTTGACATGAGCTTTGGGGGGACAACACATCCAAACTCTATCACCAGTATTCTTGCAAAGATGAAATGGGACCATGTGTGAATTGAGAAGCTCTCATAGCAGTTATTTGTCTAGATGTTGGTGATGTGTTAAACATTCTGTGAGCCATAAAGACAGTCTATCTCTGCATATCTCCGAATGAGGGCAAGAGGGAGCCACTCACCTCCTTCCAGGTTGCTTGGAATCATTCTAGTTATCTTTGAAGCCTCAGGCAGATGGATTCTAGCTAAGGCTAGAAGTGTGGTAGAATAGTGTTTTGAGATGTTACTTTCACATCTTTGCTTTTCTTCAAGTATCTCTCCTTTTTTCTTCCCCTCTTTGGAAAGGTTTGTGGTAGGATTGCTTGCCTTTACATTTTCAAAAGCTTAACCCTATGGGGCTGGCCAATTAGCTCACTCGGGAGAAGGCGATGCTGAGAATACCAACGTCAAGGGTTTGGATCCCTGTACTGGGCAACCGCCAAATAATAAATGAATAAATAAATAAACAAGAGCTTAACCCTGCTAGGAAGATGATGCAAATTGTCTCTTAGGGAAGCTTTTAACACAGAGGGTGCACATTTGAGGGGAAGAGACCAAGTGATTTTCTACTGTAATTTTTACTAATCACAAAGATTAGCAAAAGGAATCATCTGATATGGAAAAGAAAGAGATGGATGAAAAGTGCTGAGAATGGTGATTATGGTGGTCCAACGTTTCTACTGTAATTTTTACTAATCACAAAGATTAGCAAAAGGAATCATCTGATATGGAAAAGGAAGAGATGGATGAAAAGTGCTGAGAATGGTGATTATGGTGGTCCAACGGCAGTGTTTAGGAGTGGCTGAGAAAGGCCAGAGAGGGAATGGACATGTGGTGCTGCATCCAGGCACTCAGGGCCTGGTGGTGCCATGAAAGTGGCCACAGAGACCTCTTGGACATGAAGGAGCCAAGGCACCTGGACCAGGGGTGTGTATGGTTGACTGTTGGAAGAAAGCATGTTGGACAACAGATGGATCAATGGGTGCCTTTGTGGGC